TTTGCGCGCGTCCACTGTGGTCCGATGTAAATAAATAAGAGAAAATAATGATTGTGTGTTTTGCTTCCTTTGCTTCCGCTGCCCTGCTGTGTGCTCCGCGTTGCTGCTCCCTGTATCCGTCACGTTGAATACATACCAGACACATCCTTATGCAAAACACGCACACAACTGTTTGCGTGGACCCACTGTTGGGTGCTGGTTCATGCACGCTGGAGCCATTGGGCGCAGCTTCTTGTTTTTTTTTTGTTTTTTTTTTTGACTTTTTAAACTTTATTGTTGCTTTTTTACTCGTGTTTTGTTTTTAGTTCTTTTGTGTTTTTTTTTCTCATTATTTGCTTCGGGCGGTGTGTTCGTGTTTCCCATTTCCACTGGTTTCTACTGCCTCATTGTATGTGCTGCTTCTGGGCTGCTGCCATTTGTCACTGTGCGTCGGTTGTGTGTGTTGTAGCGGACGTGTCTCGCTGTTTTTCCTTTCACTCTGCGCTGACGGGGAGTTAGTTTGTGCTGAAGGCTACACGCAAGTGGCAGGAGTGATGGCGATGATGATGACTGGCCGTGTGCTGCTGGTGTGTGCCCTCTGCGTGCTGTGGTGCGGTGCGGGTGGTGGCTTTGCTGACGAGGTGGTACCTGTTGACGATGCACCTGTTATTTCTGCGAGTGGTGGTTCTGGAGCTGCCGACAAAGACACCGGTCGTATGGTGCCTGGTGGAGCGGAAAACCTTTCTGCACAGCAATCACAGCTGCAGAAAGTTGGGGATTCGTCACCCGGGATATCGTCATTGGAAGCTGCCTCAGGGATTGAATCAACAAAACAGCAGACGCAATCCGACCACGAACACAAGGATCCAGTGAGACCTTCACAATCATCGGGAGAACAGCGGCAAGATGAACAACATTAAGGTCCACCAGGGAAACCGGGGCGTCACTCGGTCAAGAGGAGAGGAAACATGCATTAGATGGAGTTCCAGAGAGAAATGATCCGCCACCTGTTTCAAGTAACAACAATACCGTCAGCAGTAATAGTGGGGAACGCAGAGAAGATACTCCGAGGAGTACTGAAATTATTGTTGCAGCACCGTCAGATGAGGGGCAGGAAGATGAAAACGCCACTCCTTCCTTGGAACAACCTCGGGAAACTTCCACAGCCGCACCGGCCATTACCACTCAAACAAGTTCCACGACACCGACTGACGTTAGTGAGAGCAACACCGTCAAAATGAGTGAGGCATCACCCAAATCAACAAGAACCGCTCAAACAAATCATACGGCGACACCTGGCGACAATGACAGCAGCACCGCGGCCTCCCACACCACCTCCCCTCTTTTGCTTCTTCTTCTTGTTGTTGCGTGTGCGGCTGCTGCTGCGGTGGTGGCCGCGTGAGAGTGAGGGAGAGAGAGCCGTGCACCGCCCGCACACACACTCGTCCTTCACTCTCTGTGTCCCCTTGCATGGACTCTTGCCCTCACCTCACCCCACGAGGCACACACATAATGTGCCCATTGTATATATGCATGCACACCCATGCATGCCCGTTGGTGCTCTCTTTTGCACGACACGCACCGCTGCCGTCCTGCCTGGCTGCATGGGCGGAGCACCGTAACTGTTTTTGTTTCCATTGCATTGAGTGGGCGACCTCTCTCTCTCTCTCTCCCTGTGTGTGTGTTTTGCTTTACGGGAGCAATGAGAGTGTGTGCGCTGGTTGTCCCACGCTTCGGCTTTTGCTTTTTTTTTGTCTATTGTTTTATTGCTTTTCTTCTGTTGTGGTTGAGTGCACCCATTACCCTCTTTTCGATTATTGGCTTGCTTTGACTGCGGACGCCTAAATTGTTTTTTTTTTTTTTTTTCGAATTCTTGTATTCCTTCTTTCTTTTTGAGAGAGTGTCAGTCTTTTGTTTCTTGTGACGCCGCCAATGTTTTTTTCTTTGATATACGCCATGCGCCCGTTGATCGACGTTACTTTACTTTGCTGCCTGCGGCGCTTCTGGTGCTGCTATTGATGATCTCTGCCACGCGATTTGTCGACAGGTGTCTTGCTGTCAGCCTGACGTATCCTTCGTTCCTTGACGATTTGTTGCGTACCGACGGTGCGTGGGCGTCTCTGGTGATAGTGAGGGACGCTTTTCTCAGAGTGCAGGATGCGTCGCGGGTGTGCGGCGTCGTTTGTAAGAACCGATGGGTGCCCATACGCATCCAGGCGTCATCAACGGACTGTGAGGACAGCATAAGGCACTGCGGCTTCTCCTTGTGTTGCACAAAGAATTTATTGGATGGTGCGTTTGTTTTCAATCTTTTGCAGCTTTTGTGGGAGAAGGTGGGAGGTTGAGGGCATGAGGACTGAATTGATTTGAGTGGCTGCGTTCCGTTGACTTGCGGCCAGTCGTGGCACTCTTTTGGGGTTTGGCAGCTCATCTCTTTTGTTTACTTCCCACTGCAGCACGTGGATAACACTGATCCGAGGAACATTTGTTTGACCGCGTGTGGGCTGCTGCCGTGCGTGGTGCATGGACTATGTGATTGTGTGGGGAGGTGCATTGGGGTGACGAATACTTCTGTTTGGCGTGTTGCGGTGTGTTGGAATGATGTTCGGATGACATGTGGAGGGTGTTGTTTGTGATTTGTGTGTCTTCTCTGGTGGAGCCGACATGTGTGCGGGGATTGTGGCATTGCTGGCTGACAGCTCCACGTCACTTTTCAGCATTCCTGGATGTGCTGAGGGATGACGGCTGGCGACCAGCGTGTTGGTGCTGCTGCTGGGAATAAGTGCATCGGGAATAGGCCATTTTCTCTTTTCCGTGCTGGAGCCGACGAACTGGCACAAGGGCACCGGCTGCAGGCTGCCTGCCAGCACGTGTGAGCAGCGGATCCATGCACACACCGACGCTCATCGCAAGAGCGTGTGCGATCACAGTGGCCTTTTGTGGCGTGCTTTTGTGGACGTCAGCCCATCGAAGAATGTGTGAAGCAAACGGCTGACAGCACACGAGGAAAATAAGTGCGTGCACTGTGCCGTGTTTCAGCGTCGATGGCAGAGCGGCAGGAAGCCCGTGCTGGCAACTGAGATCTTTGCGTCGCGAGGGATGTCGGTGTTGATTTTGGATCGTCGAGGGTGAAGTGATTTTGGTGCTGCCCGTGTGTGTGGCCACTCCGGCAGAGGGCGGACACAAAAGGGAGGGATGCAGGCGCTGCGTGCGTGTGTGTGCAGGTGCCATGCAACAACGTCACAACAAACATGCTGCGACTCGGTGACCCTCACATCGTTGCGGTCCTCACGAACAGCCGAGGCACGGCCCACACCGATGCACTTAGTGGACGGAGTGAGGCATCTTTTGAGGCGCTGCAGGGAACAGGATGTGTTGACGCAGCCACGACGTGCATGGAGTGTCACGATGGCACAGTCAGCTGTGGCTGGTGGAATATTTACTTTTTGGAGGCAACAGAGAGAGAGAGAGAGCTGCTCCTGCTGCTGGCGTCGTTGCTGCCTTTTGTGGCCTCCCATGCCGATTATTGTCTGTCCGCTGATCATGGGTGGCATGCCTCCACTAGTGACGTCGTCTGCAGGCGTTTCACAGCAACAGTGAAACACACATCACGTCGCATGCTTTGGCTGTGGATATGGTGTCGTGAATGCAGCCGGCATTATTTTGCCCGACTCCTTTTCACTGCTTTGCGACAAATAGATGCGTTGCCGCCCGAGTCATTCACTGCGGCTCCGTGTGTTGTACTGCCAGCACAAGACTCTCTTGTTGTCTGACGCCTGGCTGACAGTCAAACACCACTGCGTTGGGACATGCAAGGATGTGGACTGCCGCTCACGGTGTTGGGCACCGCTGTTTGGATGCGGCGGCCACACGAGCGGATGTGTTGTGGCACAATCGAATGCGTGAAATACGCGGAATCACAGCGGCTGCAATAATATCAGCGGTGTGGCACCACGGAGTATGTGAGGGGGTGATGCATGATGAATCACAGTGGGCGGCATGCGAGGGAAGTGCACCGCGACGGAGCGTCACCCCGCCCTCAGCCTGCAGGGGAATGTACACCCACAAAATATATGGACGAGACACCACCAAACACACATGCCCTTCCATGCACCAATAAATAGGAGCGAAGGTGCGTTCTGGTGTGTGGGAGTCCACTCACATATTTTCATTTCCACCGCAATAAACGGTGAGGAATCAGGTGCCACAGCAACGAAAGGAAAAACAAACATCTATTGCAGCATTTTACCAGCGAAAGGCAGGAACAACACAAACCGAATTATTGGCTGCACCAACACAAGAAACATTCACAAGAGGAAAATAAATAATAATTGTGCACCCTGCAGAAATCACAACACACGACCCCGGCATGAAGGTTTGCCCTCTGCAAAACAAAACAACGCATGCAGACATCTGCCAACATCCAAACAGGAACAATAATAAATGTTTGCTTGCTTTATTCCATTCTCTGCGCTTATTTTTGCGTGTGCTACTGCTGCGGTGGTGGTTCCCAGGCCTGCATGAAGTGGTGTGCGCTGAATATGAACGAAGGCCAAAGGCAACTGAACTGTTTTTGTGATGAATATTGGCTGCACTTCCCGTGGACCAACAATTCACGTGGTGTGCGGGGATCTCTCCTTTTTTATATTGTTACTTTGCTTTTGTGTTGCTGTGTGCGCTGCACCTCCTCTTGTGTGCGTACCCTCCGTGAGGGGTGCAGACACGACGGACCGCTCTCGCCGTATGTGCATGCGGTGGAGCCTTGTGTGTCGCTCCTGTTTGCTTCTCCCTCTTCCATCTGTGTGTTGGTGTTGCGGCAGGGCTGTGTGTGTGTGTGCCTGTTGCCGTGGATTGGAGTGTGTGTCGTGCGTGGTGTGCGGCGTACGGTGCATGCCTGGCTGCTGCCCTCTCCTCATGTGGTGTGCCCTCTGTGTGTCTGCCGCACCTCTCGTCTCCCCTGTTGCTCTCCATGTCCCTCACTGTGCAGATCAGCTCCACACCACTGAACGACCACACTCACGATGATGACGACGTGCCGTCTGCTGTGCGCCCTGTTGGTGATTGGTCTGTGCTGCTGCCCGTCCGTGTACGCGACAACAACTGGTGAAGATAAAACTGAAAAAGAAAACGTTCCAAAGGTTGACGAGACAGAGGGAACAGGTCAGGAAATGGAATCGCAGAGTGCAACTTCTCCTTCGCCAGGGACGAAAAAGGAGAACAAAGGGACGAAACCGGTAGAAAATATGGCGCTTCATACGTCACATACAACGGGTACAATAACCAAAACGCCACAGTCACAAAATACTTCCAGTAATACACAGGATCAAGATGGTGGGAAGTCTAATGAACAGATAGAACATACGAACACCGTTACGGCAAATGAACAAAAGAAGGCCGCCGCACCAACTACGACCACGACGACCACTTCAACGACGACGACGACCACAAAGGCGCCAACCACGACGACCACCCACGCGCCGTCACATCTTCGCGAAATCGACGGCAGCCTCAGCAGCTCTGCGTGGGTGTGTGCCACGCTGGTGCTCGTTGTATCCGCGCTGGTGTACACCACTCTGGGCTGAAGAATTGTGTGCTGCTGCCCGTCCGTTTGCGTGTCAGCACTCAGCTACGGGGATTTGTGCGCGTCCACTGTGGTCCGATGTAAATAAATAAGAGAAAATCATGATTTTGTGTTTTGCTTCATTTGCTTCTGCTGCCCTGCTGTGTGCTCCGCGTTTTTCTACACATCCGTCACGTTGAACGCATCCCGGACACACTCATATGCATGGCACGCACACAACTGTTTGCGTAGATGCATGTTTGTGCTGGTGTATGCGCACTGGGGCCATTCGGGTGAAATTTTTGTTCGGTGTGTTTTTAATTCTTGCTTTTTTTCTTGCTGCTGATTTTTTACTTTGGTTTTTTTTTAATTGCTTTTTGTGTTTTTCTTGTTGTTAAATTATTACGGGGCGTTGTGCGTTTTTTGACTTTTATTGGTTTAATGTTTCTCATGAAATGCGTGCTACTGGTGTTTTTTACTGTGCCGTGTCTCTTTCTTTTTGCTTTCACTCTGCGTTGACGGGGAGTTAGTTTGTGCTGAAGGCTACACGCAAGTGACAGGAGTGATGGCGATGATGATGACTGGCCGTGTGCTGCTGGTGTGTGCCCTCTGCGTGCTGTGGAGCGGTATTGATGGAGTTGCTGAGACCGAGGAACCTGGAATTGATGTAGCGCCCGGTGTGGATGAGTATTTGGTTGTGGAGTGGCGCGCTCAGCTGCGGAGGGAATGCGCGGAGGAGGTCAGCAGGAGGACGGGAGGCCGTGCGAATGTGTCCGCCGTTGAGGAATGCCTGCGTGAGGGAATGGAGAGTTTGCATGCCGTTGTGGATGGCCGTCGTCGTTGGAGGCCTCAGCGGTATGCTCTGGTCGCAGAGAATCCTGAAGATGGCCCTCCCGAAGTTATTTCCGTTGGAGCTCCTCCACCACTCCCGGGCCAGAAAACGCAAGGCTCTTTACAGGAATTATCATTGGGGGATCCAGAGAAATTGTCAGAAGGAGGTGCAGGAAGAGGAACCGGATTGGGATCAGAACAACTGCAGCCTGAAGAATTGCCCGTCATCAAACAGAACGAGTCAGAGGTTGAAGGCGAATTAATTCGCGATGAAAACAACAGTGAGCTCGAGAAAAAAGTATTAGTTGATTCAGATCTAACGAACTCCCAGACGATGAATGTGCCGGAGATTCAGCCGGAAGCGGTTGGTTTATTGCTTCCTTCACGTGATGGTCGAGCCGCTGGCATTCCGGGAGGGGATTCCTCTGAGTTGTCCTCTGAAGTTTCTCGATTGTCTGAAGCCAGCGGAACAGGAGGAGACGACCAACAAAAAAATACACCTGGCAAAGAAAAACAAGCAGCAACACCAACACAACCAGTGCCAGTGGCACACTCCAAACCGTCAGGAAGTGCAGGAACTGTGCCAGGAGAAGGAGGACGATTAGAGGATCTACTGCCAGAAACACCAGTTAAGGAAACCGCTCCAGCAGCTCCATCATCGAGGGAATCATTTCACACCGCATCGTTACCAGCAAAGGAGGACACAGAAAGCACGCAGCCAGCCGACGTTCTTCTGAAACAGGGCAACATACCAACAACAGATGCCACACAAAATGCGACAACCGAGGGTCAGGAGGAAACAACTTCATCATCTTCTGCGGCGGATGACGATAATGCTCTCACCAATGACGCTGACGAGGGCAATGCGGAGAATTCCAACGGTGGTTCCGCATCTCGTGCCGCAGTGCCAGACGAAAAACAACGACGTGAACGAGAGGATGGCAGCGAGAAGGAAAGAGCACCAGCAGCAACGCCACAAGTAAAAAATGAAGACCTCGGCTCTGCAGATGTCGTTTCAGTGCAACAGGTACAGAAAGCCCAAAGCGGCCTGGAGTCAGGGAATGAGTCAAGAAAAGAAGACAGTGTTCTCACCACAAACAAACAACAGGATGGAACATCTGACAGCCATGCCGAATCAACTCCAACATCACGCTCATCAGCAAAAAGTGTTGGCGCCAGTAATGGCCCTGACAAGGCTACTGAAGAGGAGATTTCCAATACAAATACAGCACGTGTTGATGCAGTACCAGAAGCAGCACAAGATGATGGAAATAAAGATGACAATAAAAAAGAATGACCAATAAAAACCACATCTATTGCAAATGATACGACTCCAACTAGCGACAGTGACGGCAGCACCGCGGTCTCCCACACCACCTCCCCTCTTTTGCTTCTTCTTGTTGTTGCGTGTGCGGCTGCTGCTGTGGTGGTGGCCGCGTGAGAGTGAGGGAGAGAGAGCCGTGCACCGCCCGCACACACACTCGTCCTTCTCTCTCTCTGTGTGTGTCCCCTTGCATGGACTCTCGCCCTTACCTCACCCCACGAAGCACACACATAATGTGCCCATTGTATATATGAATGCACACCCATGCAGGCCCGTTGGTGCTCTCTTTTGCAGCACACGCACCGCTGCCGTCCTGCCTGGCTGCATGGGCGGAGCACCATAACTGTTTTAAAATACTTTTTGCTTTAAAATTTTTTTTTTTTTGCTTTTATTGTTTTTTTTTTTCTACTTTTTTTTTATCTCTTACTTCCCCATTCCCAATCCTTCCTTTTTGCTTTTGGGCGCAATCAATATGGACGTTCTTTTTTCTTTTCTACTCTTCCCTCTTTTAATTGTTTCTTCTGCGCTCTTCCTGCGAGGGGTGCCGTGTGTTTCCCGCCCAACTGCTCCACTCGCACACCCACCGACACGCTCATGACGACGGCCCTGTGCGCCTCGCCTGCTGCACGCATGAGGAGGGGCCGCGACGAACGGCGTGCTGAGGGAGCCGTGACGTGTGGGTGTGCGACGAGGGCCGGTGGGGCGGAGCACACATTTCTTTCCCTCTTGTTTTGCTTTTTTGCGGCCAGGGCGGGCAGACACCCGCAGCGCCACACACACAGCCACACCCTGCCGCCGTGTTTTTCTCCTGTTTTGTTTTCGTTTTGTTTTGTTTTTTTTGGATGGGTGTGTGCTGCCACCGTGCGTGATTTTTGAGGTTGAGGCCTTACCGCATGTATCGCTGCCATCCAGCTGTGCCTCTTGCTGAGTTGACGTGCCTTCCTGTGCTCCTCTTCTTTCCTGCTCCATCACACACGGAAGTATTTGCGCAGTGGTCTGCATGACTGCTTTGGCAACCGCAGGACTCTGGCTTGCGTTCCGTGCTGGAATGATGACGTGGCCGCACGATGCCCGCTATGCGTGAAGGTCTTGACTGCTCTTGGGATCATTCTCCTCTCCTCGTTGTATTTGCACTGCTGGTTGCGGGCGTTGCTCATTGTGTGCTGGCGCGTGACGGACGGTGCCACGATGGTCTCCTCCGGCGATGACAGTCGCTGTGTTCTCGGCACACACTTCCACACACACTTCCTTGTCTCTCTGTGGGAGTGATTGCAACACGGCTGCACGATGCCCGCCATGCGTGAAGTTGCCAGCTCTTGGGATTCTTTTCTCCTCGTTGTTTTTGCACTGTCAGTTGTGGAGCGGCGAGGCGGTTTTCTTGCAGCCCGACTGACAGAACCGCACAGTTGTTTCATTGCGGTCACTCCGTCGGCATCACCCGCTGCGGTGGTGTCCGCAAGAGCCGCAACCCCGGTGAGTATGGCCTCGTAGGTTTCTCGCAGCTCATAAATTCAGGCCCTTCGCCCCTCAGGATTGCCCTTGCTGCTCGACTGGCGCAGCACCATCCCGGCATGGTTCTTCTGCAGGAGTGCAGGCACGAGAGTGCTCCAGCGACGAGGCTCATTGGCTGCGGTGTCTTCCACCAGAAGTGCAGTGGGCGTGCCGGTGGCGTGGCCTTCTTGGTGCGCCACACCTTGCCGTGCGAGCGCTTGTTGCTCGTGGCACCAACTGCCTGGAGACCACCGCCTTCCGCGTGTGCCCACCGGCCTGCCCCAGCATGTACGTGGTGAACCTCTGCAGCCTTCCCACGGCAATTGCTCACGCTGCTCACTTCGCGTGCACCATTCGTCGCCTAGGTCCTGCAGCGGTTATTTGCGACCTGAATTCACATATTGATCTGCGGGACGGTTGCTCACCATCCACGACGGCAGGAGAGGACCTCGCCGCCACCCCAAGCGGCATGGAATTTGGGCTATCCGACGACCCGGCACGGGCAACGCGGATCAGCGGCCGCAGTGTATCGTTTCCCGACGTGACTGCGCAACGCGTACTGCGTGTCTCTCTCTGGACGTCCACCCGTTCACATGGACTCGGACCACCATCTGCCATCCCACACTGCAGGGACGGAGGACGGCATCCCGCGACAGGCAGGCATGCTGCCACGACGGAAACATGATGCCATTTCCCTGCGTGAAGCTGACTGTGATGCTTCCACCTCGGCGTGTGGAACACCTCTGGCCACTGTGACCGCATGGTTGGAGATGCACCGAGGCACCGTACGAGTGGCAGCCGTGACAGTCCCACAGGAACCTGGACGGACGGAATGTAGCAGGCCGAGTGTGTTGCAGCGGCAGCCTGCCCCGAGCTGAAGTGCTCCGCAAACGGGAGGACCGCAATTATGCCCTCCACCGTGGCTTCTCCATGGTGCTGGAGGTCCGTGCGAAACAGCTTGGTGCCCTCTCGAGCCAAGGCCTGTGATGCCCTGAGGCATGGCGGCGCCACGTCCCTGCCCTCTGGGATCGGCTGTGCTGCGGTGCTGTTGGGACCGCGTCTGTGCTCTGCCTCCGCCGCAACCTCTTCCCGACGTGAGCACCGCCACTCCTTGCCGACCAGCAAGCGGCTGATGGACGTCCTCCTGCCCACTCCTCGGCAGACCGGCACGCGCCCTGCAGATCACAAGCAACCCTTTATGTCGGTGGTGCTGCCCTCCCACACTGAAGAGGCAGGACCGCCCCGACCTCCTCCGGAACCTCCACCTGGCGTGTCCACGGCACCTCCTCGTAGAATGAAAAGCAGCGGATCAACGTCGCCCTGCCCAAGCTGCAGCAGCGTCTTCTCGTCCGTCCACAATATGAAGGCACACGGCCGACGCACTAACCCTGCCACTCCAATCGTTGCAGAAGGCCTCACACGTGGATTCTGCGACAGCTCCACGGTCTTCCCAACAAGTGCCTCACGCGCAGGTCGCCACCGAAAATGTCAAGCGTATCAACGAGCAAAAAACGGACAACGCACCTCTGCAAGCTCCAATGAAAGCCGTAGCCCTTCAGCCACTCCTCCGCTGCAACCCCACCAGCCGCTGTGCCCCCGATAATCCACGGGAGGCCCTGCCGCACACGCTGTGGGAATGCCGCCGTCCTCGACAACTGAGCATCCGACTATTTGGGAACACCACCTCTCGCACGACAGCATCGTTCAAGACGGAAAAACCGGCCACATCGCTACGGACAGCCCTCGGGCCATTAACGAAGAGTGACCGCAAAGTATAACGAAGCAAATACTTCCCTTTTCTCAACATAGAAAAACGTCACCTTCACACTCGCAATTGCCACCAATGAATCCATTGCGTAATACCGCTCCGAGCTGCAATACTTCCTGGTACCATCCATGTCCCTTGTCGACACATTGATGCGGATGGGCGCCCATCCATTCCTCCCAATGACGGTGCATGTCTGCGACGCACCCTCAGATCCAAAAGGCACGTCCCTCACCACAGCCGGGATCGACTTCGCCCTGTCCGCACGCATCGCTTTGTCAGAGAAGCAGGAGTACGTCAGGCTGGCAGCAAAGCACCCGCCGGCACATCAAACATCATCACAACCAGAGGCACCAGCAGCACTGCAGATCGTGGTGTGACGTGGATCAACTGACACATGCTGTACGTAAAAGAAAACATTTAATGACTTGACAAGGATAAGAAACACTGACAATATCTCAAAAGAAAAGAGAAAATAAGATAAAAAGAGAATTTAGGCGTCCGCAGTCAAAGCAAGCAAATAATCCACAAAAAAAAGGTAATGGGTGCACTCAACCACAAGAAAAGCAATAAAACAATAAAACAAAAAAAAAAGCCGAAGCGTGGGACGACCAGCGCACACATTCTCATTGCTCCCGTAAAGCAAAACACACACACAGGGAGAGAGAGAGAGAGAGAGGTCGCCCACTCAATGCAATGAAAACAAAACAAAAACAGTTACGGTGCTCCGCCCATGCAGCCAGGCAGGACGGCAGCGGTGCGTGTGGTGCAAAAGAGAGCACCAACGGGCCTGCATGGGTGTGCATTCATATATACAATGGGCACATTATGTGTGTGCTTCGTGGGGTGAGGTGAGGGCGAGAGTCCATGCAAGGGGACACGCACACAGAGAGAGAGAAGGACGAGTGTGTGTGCGGGCGGTGCACGGCTCTCTCTCCCTCACTCTCATGCGGCCACCACCGCAGCAGCAGCCGCACACGCAACAAGAAGAGGCAAAAGAGGGGAGGTGGTGTGGGAGACCGCGGTGCTGCCGTCATTTTCGGCAGTCGTGTTATTTTGCATTGCATCTGCGTCGACCGTTGTTTCCTTCGTATTACTGTGCTTTTCTTCACCTTCTCCTTTCCTTGTGGCATTGGATTCCGGTGCATTCTTCGGCATCACCTCTTTACCGTCCTTTTCAGCTTCACTATTTGCAGTATCGGTGGCAGGTGAGGTTGATTTTGGCCCTTCTGTTGGATTTGCTGGTGAATCACCCGCTGGTGCTCCCGGTGTTGATTCCATTTCTGCTGCACCGCCCTTCAGTGTTTCCGAATTTGGTGTTGCCACCTGTGTTTCCGCATCATGCGACGGTTCGGTTAGCGGTGTTGAGGATTCGACGTGCTCCTCTGTATTGCCAGCGTACTTCTTACAGATCTCTTCAGCTTCAGGCTCATGAGATGTACTCGACATGCCATCATCATCACTGCCACAAACCTCCTTCATGCGAACACGCATACAGCTCTTAAACGCTGACTCATCCAAAATTCCCTCCTTCGTACTTTGTTCGTTGCATGTCCTATTAAACTCATTATGCCAAGTTAAGACCATTTCCCCAATCTCATCACTTCCGTCACTGATAAAACCATCGGCTGCCTGCACCACACTACTGCACCACAGCACGCAGAGGGCACACACCAGCAGCACACGGCCAGTCATCATCATCGCCATCACTCCTGTCACTTGCGTGTAGCCTTCAGCACAAACTAACAAGACGTCAACGCAGAGTGAAAGCAAAAAGAAAAGACACGGCACAGTAAAAAACACCAGCAGCACGCATTTCATGAGAAACATTAAACCAATAAAAGTCAAAAAACGCACAACGCCCCGTAATAATTTAACAACAAGAAAAACACAAAAAGCAATTAAAAAAAAACCAAAGTAAAAAATCAGCAGCAAGAAAAAAAGCAAGAATTAAAAACACACCGAACAAAAATTTCACCCGAATGGCCCCAGTGCGCATACACCAGCACAAACATGCATCTACGCAAACAGTTGTGTGCGTGCCATGCATATGAGTGTGTCCGGGATGCGTTCAACGTGACGGATGTGTAGAAAAACGCGGAGCACACAGCAGGGCAGCAGAAGCAAATGAAGCAAAACACAAAATCATGATTTTCTCTTATTTATTTACATCGGACCACAGTGGACGCACACAAATCCCCGCGGTTGAGTGCTGGCACGCACAGCCCGCATACACACCTCTTCAGCCCAGAGTGGTGTGCGCCAGCGCGGATGCGGCGAGCACCAGCGTGGCACACACCCACGCAGAGCTGCTGAGACTGCCGTCGATTTCGCGCAGACGTGACGGTGTGCGGGTGGTCGTCGTGGTTGGCGCCTCTGTAGTCGTGGTCGTCGTTGTGGTTGTCGTAGTGGTCGTAGTTAACACATTGATGTTTTTTGCTGAATTGTTTTCCATTTCGTTTGGAGGAGTTGGTGACATTCCCGTAGTGGCCGTACTTGGCGCTGTAACGGTCCTCGAATCCGGTGACTCTGCATCTCCGGGCTGTATTTGTAACACTCCGGCTCCGATCATTGTATCTGGTTCCTGTGTCCTGCCGGCTTCCGGATCTGTGGACCCTTTCGTGCCGGACGCAGCACTTTCTCCCGTTGGCGCTGGAGGGCTTAGAAGGGAGTTTTCACTTCCTCCTCCGCCAGCTACCTGATTTTGTCCCTGTGTTATATCGGAATTACTTTGTGACCCCGCCACACCGGAATTATCAGATTGCAGTTGCGTACTGCTCGGAGTTTGCACCCCTGGCTGAACCGGCGGTTGAACGGGGACATCAACATTTTTTTCACCATCCGCCGTCACGCAAACGGACGGGCAGCAGCACAGGGCGAGCACCAACAGGGCGCACAGCAGACGGCACATCATCATCGTGAGTGTGGTCGTTCAGTGGTGTGGAGCTGATCTGCACAGTGAGGGACATGGAGAGCAACAGGGGAGACGAGAGGTGCGGCAGACACACACAGAGGGCACACCACATGAGGAGAGGGCAGCAGCCAGGCATGCACCGTACGCCGCACACCACGCACGACACACACTCCAATCCACGGCAGCAGGCACACACACACACAGCCCTGCCGCAACAACAACACACAGATGGAAGAGGGAGAAGCAAACAGGAGCGGCACACAAGGCTCCACCGCATGCACACACGGCGAGAGCGGTCCGTCGTGTCGGCAGCCCTCACGGAGGGTACGCAAACACACAAGAGGAGGTGCAGCGCACACAGCAACACAAAAGCAAAGTAACAATAAAAATAAGAGATCCCCGCACACCACGTGGATTGTTGGTCCACGGGAAGTGCAGTCAATATTCATCACAAAAACAATTCAGTTGCCATAGGCCTTCGTTCATATTCAGCCCACACCACTTCATGCAGGCACGGCCACCACCGCAGCCGCGCACGCAAAAACAACAATAAGACGCAAAAGAGGGGAAATGGTGTAGAAGACCGCAGTGCTGCTGTCGCTGTCGGCGGTGGTCGTTGTTCCTTTCTCATTCTTGGTGACTGATGTTGTCGTTAATTCTTCCGGTTGCTTGACTGAGAGTGATGTGGGAGCACAATTGGTGTCCTGACACTCCGTCAATGCCTTCCCTGTCCCGTCGATTTCTGTGCTCGCCGGTGGTGTGGGTGGGTCGCTGGGGTAGGCGAGACGCTGACAGGGCTGCCAGCACCATCTGACTGAGCTTGGTCTGCCGTGTTCTCGTCCCCAGTCCCACTGCACCAGCTGCTAGGGGCGGTGCAGCGGTCATGCCAGAAGCACCAGCAATGGGCTGGGGTGTCGGCCGCATCAATCAATGGGTGTGTGCCCGCAATCGACAGGAACTTGCATCGACAGAGACGTCTGCACCGAAGCTCGGGAATGGGGAACAGTGGCGCCAAGCGGAACAGTGCATGTCACCCCGGAACATCCGCAAGGCGTATTGGCGCGGACTGCGTTACTGCCGTGGCAAAGGAAATGAATGGCGGTGCTGGTGGCGTTCTCGTCGTGCGTCCCCTCCGGCCACTCCTCGCGGTAAACCCATTGCCTGAGTACATTTGATTCCGCCTGAGAAGCCAATTAAAAATGTTCTTCCGGTAGACGTATTGTACTCGTAACTGGCCACGGCCGCCCGCAATGCCTCCAGCGAATACACCTGCGATGCACGGTCAACGCATTCCACATCCACTCGTCGTGCACCATCCAACACCATCTTTTCCTTGGAGCTATGAAAAACACCGGGCACACACTCCTTTGCGGCCGTCCAAGGCATGCGCCTGCGGTGAGAATCCAAAGAACGTTCCATTCCTTTTGTGCACAAAGTCATGGAGCTGACGCCGTTAAGCGCGTCCCGGCGAGGGCAACAACAGCCCGCCGCAGCACTCACGAATGCCCACCCGTTGCCTCCTGTGAAAAAAAAAATAGATAATGGAAGGAAAAGCGTGCACAAATGCCCCGGCAAGAAAGGTCAGCACCAGTGGATGAACACTGAAGCCGTGGGTGCATGCTCCACAAATGTCCTTCCTCTTTTAACCGCCTTCTTAGTTGCATGGAAATGGCCCGTAACCGCACACGCAAGAATACAAAGGTATAAGGCGAGCAGCGCGGCCGTTGAAACACACACGCGCATCGTATGGAACACTTCATAGAGAGGAACGGAATGCAGGAAGAAGCGCACACAATCCCCATGGACACCCGCAATCGTGTGTGGTTGCATCTGTTCCACTCTTTGGCCCTCGATGCATTCCTGTACGTGTCTCGCCCCTAAGTCCTACTGCCGTAGGGTGCCAAGTCCCTGCACACACACACCTCAGGACGCGGCAACGAGGCTCCCCAATGACCACCTCACGGCCATACCTTTTGGATATCTCATGGACCGAGCGCCTCTCGCTGCAGGCCGCACCACCCAAAACAAGCAGCACAATGCGCTGAGGAGTTGTGAGGGCAATCGTCCCACCACCGCCACCGCCACCCAGCTCAGGATGATTCTCCCCTTTGCCACCACACCCTTGAAATGGCCCGGCGTTGTCCCTGCTCCACTGTTTTGGCCACCACTCGCGCCATTTGTCCTCATCGCATGATCGCGCTGCACCGATGCCAACGACAGCTCAACCCGCAGCGTCCTCTTCCTGCCCGTCTCCATAATCATACAGGCATGCTTCAGAAACGGATCCTCGTCCGTCGCGGCGTTGCTCGCAGAGGCACTCGTGCTCTGTTCGCTCTGCGCCGACGCCGTGCTGTATCGTTGCACGCTCCCGGCCCTCCTCGTCACATGCTCAAGGTTCGCGGACAAATGGGCGTCGGGCGTCAGTCCACCGTCTCGGATCAGCTGCTGCTTCTTGGCCTCCGTCAACTCGTCGGTGCTGCTCGCAGCCACAAGCAACAGGAAAAGACGCAGACGCACTGGCCGGGGCATCGCGGCATCCCTCGTCAGGTGCTGCACGCCATCCAGGCTTTCCCTGAGGGGTTTGAGCCCAACGGCGATTTCTTGTTCCACCTCCCGCGCCTCCGCCAGTCGCTTCTCCCGGTACTGTGCCACAAGCCTCGCGCAAATATCGATGTGCAGCGACAGTCTGGCTTGCCTCTCCCGAAACTCCGGCGAAGCCCGCACCGCACTGCCCAACCTCACAAGCTTGGCCTTCGGCTCCACGCCCTGCGCCAATCCCGGGTGATACGCGTGGAGTTTTTTTCGGCGCCACCGAAAGCTCCTCCACGCACTGCGCAACAAAACAATGACAGTAGGAGCACCAATACACATCTTCCCCATCAATTACTGCCGCTTTGATTCCGCACCCAGACAATTCCTACAGGTCTGCTCATACACTTTATTCCCCAGCGGCATCAGGCCATCAAGCAGACACTGACATGTGCGTTGGTGCATCAGCGGCGTCACCGTGACACAGCCCCAATCAACGATGATCCGCACCGGGTTGCCGCAGCTGTCGGTGCCCCTAAGTGAAATCCTGCTCGTCGTGGTATTGCCTGGCGAGCCCCCGAAAAAGGTCCCGGCAAACCCATGGCAGATGTTGCCCCTGTTTTGTTGGCAAATGCCGGGCACACCGTTGTTCATGGCGTGAAAAGCCGCCACAAGACGTGACGCCGCAACATCCACAACGGACTCTCAAGTCTGTGGCGACAGTGGCGACAGCAGCTGAGGGAACCCATTCTGCATGCTGAGGTGGAGCACCAGCACCTCAGGGCAGTAAAGTCTAACATAATGTCCTTGAAACGCATCGCCCTCGGCGCTATCCGAGCCCGCGCGAGTTGCTGAGAACTGCGATGCGGGGTGCACCCCAGCGCAAAGACGTGTACATCCCTGTAAGCAACCTTTGCCATCCAATCCTCAACCACGCGGCTCACAGACGCATCCTCCACAGCAAAAAAGTAGGGCGCAGGGCTACTAATAATCGGCTGCCTCGGTGTCACGGGGTCCTCGAACAGCGTCACTCCGTGCTCCATGAGGTCATGAAGACGCAGTGAGCAGCTTAGCGCAGACGCAGCATGGGCATCGCAGAAAAAAACTTTAGACGATCCATGAACGGCGTCAAGCACCTGGTGGAATATATAATCCCGCACACAACCACAAACGCCATTGCTGGGCTCACGCAGCTCCCCTCTTCCGTCGGCCTTGCTCGCACCAACACGCCACGCATAATATGTTAAGTAGAATTCACACAGAAAATGTGCTTGGATATGTGTGTGTCTTGTGTGTGCACATTCCACTCGTACCGTTTTTGTGTGTGTGCGTCTCAGAAAATATAAAAAAAACACAAGCAATGCCATACTACCATACGGTGCCCCCAACATCGGCAACCAACACAAGAAGAGCTGTGTGCATCGTAAATACCACCAATTTCAAACACAAAAACGGAGCGGACATGGCACATGCATATGGAGAACGGGACCCATTGAAATGAATGTTTTTCCTATTGGACGTACAGTGCTGAGTGCGAGCCACGCAGGAGGAAGCACAGTCGCCTCGCAGCGCAACGCCATCCACACCGCAACTCGATGGAGTGTTGGCACGGCGGCAGCAGAGGCAAGCAGAAGCAGCGGACAGGGACAAGCAGCAGCAACAGTGTCATCACCGGGATTCGGAGGTGTGTCCTGCCTGCCGTCCGTCTCGCTGCTTCGGTCCCTGCCGCCGAGAGAAGCTTCTTGCGGTCTGTCGGGGCATCCTGGCCGGATCCACTTCTCCTCTGGCGACGGATGCTTCTGGGGAGCAGCCGTGTCTAAGTCCCTTGATGGTTTTCCGCGGCCGGTCTCAATGCTCTCCGCAACGAGGACGGATGCCCCTGGCAATCCTTGTTCAGTATATGCCGGTGAAACCGTCCTGCTCCACATGCTCTCTCCTCGCCGTCCCACGGAACCACTGGAAGTAGGCCACCGCTGGTGAAAGATATCGTGCACACCTGCGCGTGGTCACGGCAAATAACGGTCCCCCATCGTAGGGTCGAGTGGCCCAAGCAATCGTCGCCCCGTCCGTGCATGAGACCAACGGACGTTACCCTTTTCAGTCATTGCCAGATGCACCTGCATGCCGAGGCACCTCAATGCCGCACGCAAGGCAGCACTAAAATACGTTTCTTCAGGGTTCCTTTGCATCCGTCGTGTTGTTGGGAAGCGTGTCCAGACACCACGAAGAGGGCTCATCCCCAGGCATCGCAGACAAATATTCTCCTCTCCAAATAATGGCGTCAATATCCCTCACATCCAGTGCGGGATCAGTGATGGGGCAACGGTCCATCGGGCATTTGGCTGGCATTTCATGGATACTCCCAAATACCAACCGCGACCGCGGGAATAACGATCCGACGCGCAGCGTTTGACAGGGACACCCACGTCGCAGAGCATGTGGCGATATTCACTCATGTTCAGTGCGGAGCACTTCCTCTGCAGCAGCTCACACACAATCGGTGCTATCCACTCATCCCTCGCGTGGCGCCGCGACCAGTGCGACTCCAGCATCCTCCCGTCCCCATCGTCATCCTGCAGCTCCACGCCATCAATTTCGTCGCAGTCTTGGTGCTCACTCGCAGCCATCGCGGCATTCGTCGAGTCCACCACCACCGACAGCGCTCTGCCACGCACACCAATAGCATTCCTCACCATGCTGCGGCCTGCCAAGTGCGGGCAGTCAAACCCGAGAGCATGGGCCATCAGGTGCGCGGCGATGCAGGTGGCGATGCGTCCGTGAAATGAAACTGACAGGCAAAGTGCATGGCGCCAGCGACTGGACGGCCATCCTCCAGCGTGCCGCACGGCAGTGATCACGCAACACCCAACGCTGCAGCCACGCACTGCACCATGTCAGAATTGACAACACCAGTGGAACAATGCCCAGCAGTCACCGTGAACCAACTGCAAACGCTGCCCGTGGCAAATGGAGGCACAATCAACGGACCCTCCAGTGGCTGGACGAGCAGACAATCCTCATGCAGTTTGACAGCAGCAGGGACAGTCTCCTCTTCAAGGATATTACCGTGCGCAGAGGATAGAACACCATCCTTACAGTAGCGATTGTCATTCAATGAATTCATTGCGTGAGACCAGGAGAAACCGCAGTGCCTCCTGCTGTCACACGGGTTCGTTGTAGACGTCTTAATGCGGACGGGCACCCATGGGTCCTTCCAGACGACGCTGCACACCTGCAACGCATCCAGCAACCTGGGATGCATTCTCCCCACCGTAAACGAGATAAAACTCGCTGTGGGAGCGCACCACATCGTCAAGAAATAAGGGATACTTCAGGGTGAAAGCAAGCCATCCGCCGGCAAACCACATCGCACAGATCATCACAATAGCAGCACCGGTAGCGATGCAGACAGCGGGGTTAACGTGGATCAACGGACGCATGGCGTATGTCAAAGAAAAAAACTTGGTAGCGTGACACGGATAAGAAATACTCCCAGTCGATCAAAAGAAAAAGAAGAAAAAATGAAATAGAAAATCATACATCCGCAGTCAAAGCAAACCACTAATCAAAAAAAAAAAAGTAATGGGTGTACCCAACCACAACACAAGTAAAACAATAAATTTAAAAAGCAAACGAAGCGTGGGACGATCAGCGCACACACTCTCATTGCTCCCGTAAAGCAAAACACACACACAGAGAGAGAGAGAGAGAGAGAGGTCGCCCACTCAATGCAATGGAAAAAAAACAGAAACAGTTACGGTGCTCCGCCCATGCAGCCAGGCAGGACGGCAGCGGTGCGTGTGGTGCAAAAGAGAGCACCAACGGGCCTGCATGGGTGTGCATTCATATATACAATGGGCACATTATGTGTGTGCCTCGTGGGATGAGGTGAGGGCGAGAGTCCATGCAAGGGGACACACACACAGAGAGTGAGTGAAAGACGAGTGTGTGTGCGGGCGGTGCACGGCTCTCTCTCCCTCACTCTCACGCGGCCACCACCGCAGCCGCACACGCAACAACAAGAAGAAGCAAAAGAGGGGAGGTGGTGTGGGAGACCGCGGTGCTGCCGTCACCGTCTGCTGTGGTCTCTGTATTGCTTGCTATATGTGTGGCGTTGCTTGCTGCCGTGGGCACTTCACTGTTGGCTGCTGCGGTTTCTGTTGAGCCTGAATTCGCTGTAGAGTTGGTTTTGAAAGCATTCTGCTCCACGTCTTCGGTGGATAGCTTGACGCCGTCCTTGTTGTATTCACTCGCATCTTGAGTGGTTTTCGTGTTGGTTGTGGCAGTGTTGGTCCCCACAGCTGGTAAGGCTGCAAGGCTGCTGTCACCACCGCCAGAATTCTCCTTTTTGTATCGGTATTGTTGAGTGCTGTTGTTGAGGATCCTGCGCTGTCAGTGTCGGCAGCAGTATTGACCTGCGGTGCGCCGCCATTTGAAGAAGTGTCCTCATCAACAGAGGTCTGAGTGTTACCACTGGCGGAGTCAGGCTGTGAAGCTCGACCTTCGCTGCCATCGTTATCATTTAACGTATTCTGCATATTATCTCTCTGCACTGTGCCAATGCCGACACCAGAGATATCTGCTGAACTCACTGTCTCCTGGTTTGCCTTTGATGGTGAAGATGAGGATGAATGATCTTCTTGTATCGTAATTTTGGATTCTTTTTGTTTCGCTGGATCTTGCAGTAATGTTTCCCCATCCTGAGTCCTTCCCTGTACTTCCTGTTTTTCCCTATTCGTATCCACTTCTGAGGGAGTATGACTCACGCGGTTATCAACTTCACGATGTATGGCTTGGCCAACAGGATCCAAAGGAGAAGCACTTACAACTTCAGGACCCTCAGTGCACTTCGGCGACTTAGTTGAATCATTCTTGCAGGTCTCTTTCTCCGGCAAAGTCGCTGAATCATGATTTTGACCTTCCCCTAAAGGTTTTGGGTCTTCAACTTCATTACTTTTTGGCAAATCACTGCCTTTTTGGGGGGCCGGCGCAATTATCGGGTTTTCAACTGCAGGCTCAAAAGAAAGGGTTCCCAAATTTTCACATCTACCGCCGGCACCGCACCACAGCACGCAGAGGGCACACACCAGCAGCACACGGCCAGTCATCATCATCGCCATCACTCCTGTCACTTGCGTGTAGCCTTCAGCACAAACTAACTCCCCGTCAACGCAGAGCAAAAAAAAAAAAAAAGTCACAAAACCACACACAGTCACCACACAGTGACAAATGGAAGCAGCCCAGCGCACATATCCGGAGGCAGTTGTAATCAGTGAAAGGGCAAGAAAAAAAAACAATACACACAGCCCCACAATAATTGATCAGAAAGAAAAACATAAAAAAAAACAATTAAAAGCAAAAAACAGTAAACAAACAGCAATAAAGTAAAAAAGATTAAAAACAAACAGCTGCACCAAATGGATCCTGTGTCCATGAACTCACATACAGAAATGCGTCCACGCAAACAGTTGTGAGCGTGCCTTGCATACGAGTGTGTCTAGGATGCGTTCAACGTCAAGAATGTGGGACACAACACGGAGCACACAGCAGGGCAGCGGAAGCAAGTGAAGCAAAACACAATCATTATTTTCTCTTATTTATTTTCATCGGACCACAGTGGACGCACACAAATCCCCGTGGCTGAGTGCTGGCAAGCACAGCCCGCATACACCTCTTCAGCCCACAGTGGTGTACGCCAGCGCGGATACGGCGAGCAGCAGCGGGGCACACACCCACGCAGAGCTGCTGAGGCTGCCGTCCATTTCGCGAAGATGTGACGGTGCGCGGGTGGTCGTCGTGGTTGGTGCCTCTGTAGTCGTAATACTTGGTGCCTCGGGCGCAGTGGTGGTGGTCGTCGTCGTTGTAGTAGTTGTCGTCGTGGTCGTTGTTGGTGCATTTGATTCCTTGTGTTGTTCATTTGACGTGTTAGTGTTCGTATTTTCAGTCTCTTCCTTAGTGGATTGCCCATCTTCTTGTTCCTGATCCTGTGTATTATTGGAAGTATTTTGTGACTCTGCTGTTTCTTTTATTGTACCCGTTTCCTGTGACGTATGAAGCGCCATATTTGGTTCCTGTTCCTCACTCCCATCCCCCTCCTCTCTTGTCTGTGGCTGAGGAGTTGTAAGAAGCGGATCCGTTTCCTGACCTGGTCCCTCTTTCCCGACACCCTTTGGAACGGTTTTTTGTTCGGTTTTATTTTCTTCCTCTTCACCTGCCGCGCACACGGACGGGCAGCAGCACAGGGCAAGCACCAACAGGGCGCACAGCAGACGGCACGTCATCATCGTGAGTGTGGTCGTTCAGTGGTGTGGAGCTGATCTGCACAGTGAGGGACATGGAGAGCAACAGGGGAGACGAGAGGTGCGGCAGACACACACACAGAGGGCACACCACATGAGGAGAGGGCAGCAGCCAGGCATGCACCGTACGCCGCACACCACGCACGACACACACTCCAATCCACGGCAACAGGCACACACACACACACAGCCCTGCCGCAGCACCAACACACAGATGGAAGAGGGAGAAGCAAACAGGAGCGGCACACAAGGCTCCACCGCATGCACATACGGCGAGAGCGGTCCGTCGTGTCGGCACCCCTCACGGAGGGTACGCACAAACACAAGAGGAGGTGCAGCGCACACAGCAACACAAAAGCAAAGTAACAATTAAAATGAAGAGATCCCCGCACACCACGTGGATTGTTGGTCCACGGGAAGTGCAGTCAATATTCATCACAAAAACAATTCAGTTGCCTTTGGCCCTCGTTCATACTCAGCGCACACCACTTCATGCACTCCTGGGCACCATCGCAGCAGCAGCCGTACACCCAAAAGTAAGCGCAAGGAATGGAATAATGCAAGCAACCATTTATTTGCTTTTCTGTTTGGATGTTGGCAGATGTCTGCATGCGTTTTGTTTTGTTTTGCGAAGGGCAAACCTTCATGCCTGGATCGTGTGTGGGGATTTCTGCAGGATGCACAATTATTATTTATTTTCCTCTTGTGAATGTTTCTTGTGTTGGTGCAGCCAATAATTCGGTTTGTGTTGTTCCTGCTTCTCTTTGGTAAGGTGATGCAATAAAGAATAATCTTCTGGGCCGCTGCCCGAATCCTGAGTTTCTCAAAAATAAAAACCAAACACGATAGAAATAAGTGAGGGATCAACGGAATAAGAGTGGGTTCACCACATCCTTAAAGTTCAACACGAGGCAAATAAACGCATGTTTATATATACATACCATCCGTTAGCCACAATCGTGGCCCGCCCACTCTATTCGGATAGGATACATATATTTATTTATTACTTACGACGTGGCAGACTTTTGGGGTCCTGCGGCCACAAGACCCCGCCGCGTGGTGGGAACCAAAAGGGGGTGGGTGCGATGGTAAAAATAAAAATAAAAATTATCCGGCCGCTGTCGGCTCCCTAAAGTCGTGGCCTTCCCAAAACTCATACGGTAGAAAAGTGTCGTAAAGAAGTGTATATTCGTTCTATCAGGGTGTATATATATATATATACATTCATTAAGGCAGCCAGCTCTCCCGCGATCATTCTCTACACAGGCTCCTAAAAGGGCCCAAACACACCCACAAGACTCCCAGCAAGAAAAAAGGAAACACGGCGTGACTGACACGACTCAAAGTCATGTTTCTAAGACAATGCGTGGATGACTCCGTCGACGCCACACCCGCACCATATGCCATCAACTCCTCCACGGCAATAATCCTGCAGAGTGCGGAGAGGACGTTTCAAAAGCGCATTATTGGCGGAGCCAAGCAACTGTACCGTCAGCAGATGGCAGCGGTCGGCGGGGGAAAGTGAAGGTGGTGGGACTGTTGGGGAGGGTCGATGCGCAGTGTCCCCCACAAACACGAGGCGGGTGAAGTGAAACAAACTCGTCTGAACGTCACCGGCCACCAAGATGCATTGCTCCCTGCTGTGGATATTGATGAGCTCGAGGCTGGAGCAACTACTCGCAATGCGTGAAAGCGTCTTCCTGCACTGACGCTGGAATTCACATTAGACGGGCAACTTCAGAACAGTCGATCCCCAGCAGTAAAATGCAGGTGGCAGTGACGCTGTGGATTCTCGATTCCCCCGGCAACGGAGGGCGGAGAAGAAAACTGGTCTCCCCAGCTGCGCGGCATCCATCCATTCACTCTGTGCGTCCGGAGTGCCCCGCAGCTGCCTTGAGAGATGCAGCGGACAGACCTCCCTTATTTTCGCCTCGATCCGTCAACGAAGACTTTCGCGGAGGCGTCGGCACACACCGAAGTCTCCCTCGTGCCCACCAAACAAAAGACACACCCGTTGAGCATCGTCACAGGCATCGACGGCCACGCAAATAAATATCCACCGCAACGGAAAGTGTTTCTTATTGGGCACCAAAAGAAAACTGGAGGCGGCGGCCTGGACAACACAGACATCAAATCATCCGCCAGGCAACGCTGAAATACATGCGAAAGGGCCAACGCGGGACCAGCAGCACAAACACTCGAGAGCTGCTGCGTGAACTCCACGGTAAATGGATCAGCCTCAACGCATGGGGCACTAATTACGGTGGGTGACAGCGCGAAAGCCAACGGTTCCGCAAGGCCGGGAATTGTGGAGACGGCATTCAAACCCTCCCAGGATTCGTGTGCAAAGACACGCAAATAACCCGCCCCTCGGTGCAAGTCCTCACCCATAATCCTCATCGCTCTCTTTGCCGTCATTCGTATTGTCACACTCGGAGCCGGTGAAGAAAGGTGCTGCCATTATGATTGTGACATCACACTGAATGAAACAACACAATGCCTCGAGGGGTGCCAAGTGCAGGCATCCCGTCAGGCGGCGACACGGCGCACTCTTAGCAATGTACGAAGCACAGGCAACGAAACAGCTTTCATCCGCCATCGTAATCTCGTCCAGCAGGTTCGCCCTCTTGTTCCTCGGCGCCTCGTCCCTCTCCAAGACACCAGCTGCCGCTGCCGTAGACCACGCTGCTGCCGCAATCACTCCCACAGAGAGACAAGGAAGTGTGTGGGTGTGTGCCGAGAACACAGCGACTGTCATCGCCAGAGGAGGCCATCGTGGCACCGTCCGTCACGCGCCAGCACACACCGAGCAACGCACGTACTCGGCAGTGCAAATACATTCTTGCAGAGCACTGTGCAAGTACTTATGTGTGTGGGTGTCTGTTGGAGAAGCTGCAAAGAGGAGGAGCACAGGGAGGCACATCAGAACAGCAGGAGGCACAGCTGGATGGCAGCGATGCATGCGGTACGGCCACAACCTCAACAATCACGCACGGTGGCAGCACACACACATCCACAAAAAAAAGAAGAACAAAAAAAAAAGCAAACAACACGGCGGCAGGGTGTGGCTGTGTGTGCGTGGCGCTGCGGGTGTCTGCCCGCCCTGGCCGCAAGAAAACAAAACAAGAGGGAAAGAAATGTGTGCTCCGCTCCACAGGCCCTCGTCGCACGCCCACACGTCACGGCTCCCTCAGCGCGCCGTTCGTCGCGGCCCCTCCTCATGCGTGCAGCAGGCGAGGCGCACAGGGCCGTCGTCATGAGCGTGTCGGTGGGTGTGCGGGCGGAGCAGTTGGGCGGGAAACACACGGCACCCCTCACAGGAAGAGTGCAGAAGAAACAATTAAAGAGGGAAGAGTAGAAAAGAAAAGAAACGTCCATATTGATTGCCCCCAAAAGCAAAAGAAGAAAAGAGGGATGTTTGGAGTGAGAAGAAAAAAAAACACAAAATGAATTTGAAAAAAGTATTGAAATGCAAGCAGAAAAAAAAATTAAATTTACAAAACAACAAAAAGCCGAGGCGTGGGACGACCAGCGCACACACTCTCATTGCTCCCGTAAAGCAAAACACACACACACACACAGAGAGAGAGAGAGGTCGCCCACTCAATGCAATGGAAACAAAACAGAAACAGTTACGGTGCTCCGCCCATGCAGCCAGGCAGGACGGCAGCGGTGCGTGTCGTGCAAAAGAGAGCACCAACGGGCCTGCATGGGTGTGCATGCAATATATACAATGGGCACATTATGTGTGTGCCTCGTGGGATGAGGTGAGGGCGAGAGTCCATGCAAGGGGACACACACACAGAGAGTGAGTGAAGGACGAGTGTGTGTGCGGGCGGTGCACGGCTCTCTCTCCCTCACTTTCACGCGGCCACCACCGCCGCAGCAGCCGCACACGCAACAACAAGAAGAAGCAAAAGAGGGGAGGTGGTGTGGGAGACCGCGGTGCTGCTGTCGCTGTCACCAGGCGTCCCCGTATCATTTTTTTGAGCGGTGGTGAGTGTTATTGCTGATTGAGGTGCTACCTCACTGGCTGTGGGAGCTGCTTGGGTATCACTGCCTTCAAGATCGTTCTGTGATTCACTGGGGTTGGGCCGTTGAGCATCATCCGCATCCGCCGTACTCTGGGCTTCGCCAGTGCCACTTGTATATATGGATGATGTTGTTGTTTCCGCTTGACTGCCGCGAGATGAAGTTTCCATCAATTCCTCTGTGGTTGTGTTTTGACCTTGTTGCTGTACCACATTATCCTCTGAAGGAATTTCCGGTGCATTGGACGTCATTTTGTTTGATAACACTGACGTTTTTTGTTCTTGATCTTTTGCATTCTGTGGGACATTTGGTGCTGGTATGCTTCCATCGCTTGGTGATGGTTCTGTTGCTGGAGGTGCCGGTTCTTTTGATGGAGCTGGTGATGTCACCGCCGATGGCAGTACTGGCGGTGGTGTTTGGTTGCTGGAATGGTCCACCTTCCCCACATCATTGTGCGGATTCTGTTCTCCAGTTGAAGCCTTTCCATTAACTAAAATTGGTGCTGCTGCTTGTGTGACGGAGAGCTCTTTCTCTTCTTCTTTGGGTTTCGATTTATCCGCTGTCTCCACTTTTGGGTGCTGTATTCCCTGGAGACGCTGTTGGTCCCGACTCCGCAGCTGCTTCAGGAGATATCTTCTCCTCAGGGGATAAAGAAACTTCTGTGTTCTGTGACTCACCAACCTCATTGGGAATGCGAGATGAATTAGGGTCAACTGAAGGAGGAGACTGCAAAGAACCACCACCAACACCTTTAGGATCTTCAGTTGTGTCGCTGTTACCGTCACTTCCGCCAGCGGAATTGCCACTGCCACCAGAAGTTCCACCGCCTCCTCCACTACCTCCAGCTCCACCTGCACCACCAGAAACAGAACCGGCAGCAGCAGCACCTGAAGGTGAGTCTGGATTACCTCCGATAATATCAGAAGCATCATCGTTAGTCGAGGCTTCAGCGG